CTCAGCCCCCAGCCCCCAGCCCGGCCTTCGGTCTCTGTCAGGAATACTGACTGGAGGGAGCCAGCCCAGCGTAGCTGCTGAGCAGTGGTCCTCAGGGTCTGGAAACTGCCATTCGTTACAGATGTTCATTGGTCGGTGCCTGTCAAATGAAAGATAACCCTAATAGTGGCCAAAGAGGTAAAATCCTTATTTTAAAAGAAGATGGGAGTCCTGTGTGCTGCCCGCAGGGGAGGGACGAAGGGAAGGGCTGGGCTCCTGGGAGCAGCTGACGGACGTCAGGACGCAGGACAGACAGCCGCGGGAGGGCCCTGACAGGCGCGTGAACTGCTAACCGGCGTCTCCCAGCGTCGGCTGTTAGGGTTTTCGGGAGCTCTCTCCGGCGGTCAGACCTGCGGCGTCGCCTGGTCCAGCAGAATAAACCATCATGAGCTCCGGAGCTGAGCATTTCCGGTTTAAAAAAGAGACGTCAATGGCGATTATTTTAAGGCACCACCGTGAGTTCTGCGGGTCCCCATTGCACAGAGATACTGAAAAATAAAAATGAGATTGCAGCCCAGCCACGTCCACTTGCAAGTGGAAGGCTCTGCCCGAGGAGCGGCAGTGACCCCGAGCGCGTGCCCCGGCGTGGTGGGTTCTTACCGTGAGCGACGGGCGGCTTGGCGCCGTCCAGCACCAACCCCGACGCTCACCGACCTCGGCGCTGGAGGAGCGGGGACGGGGTGGGTCTGCGTGGTTGTGGAGACCTTTGGTTCACACTCCAGCTGAGGCTCCAGACTCTAAACGTTTCCTGGGGGCCCAGCCAGTGTGGCTCAGTGGTTGAGCCTCGACCCCCGAACCAGGAGGTCGCGGTTCGATTCCCGCTCAGGGCACCTGCCCGGAATGTGGCCTCGACCCCGTTGGGGGCGAGCAGGAGGCAGCCGATCGGTGACTCTCATCGTGGATGTTTCTCTCCCCCCTCCCTTCCTATCTCTGAAATCAGTAAAATCATTTAAAAATACATATATTTCCTGGCAACAGAAAACCAGCTCGTCCCATTAGGAATTCACGTCCGCCCCCTCCCCGTGTCCCGCCATTCTCTGTGCTCACCTGGGCCCGGCTGGGACTTCATTTCCCGCCACGGCCGCAGGTCAGTGAGATGTCACCTCACGTGGGAGGAGGGGGGTGACGACTGCGGGTCAACACTGGGCGCCCCCAGGCTCCGCGACGACGCGGAGAATTCTGCGCCCACTTACGAAGACGCGCTGACAGGACGGGTCAGAAATGAGCTTGGAAACCGGGGTGGTTTGACTGCAGCCGTCCTGCTTTTTTCCATCAGAAAAGGCATTTCTGTCTGTCTGCTCTCCTCGTGCCGGAAAGTTACGACCGGCTCCCTAGCACGACTTAGACTTCAGGTGGAAGCCAGAGCGGCTGAGGCCTCACACGCAGCCGGTGAATCGCAGGGTTGTCACTGTTCATAGTGTTTCCACCTTCGAGCACCGGAGGACTTGTCTTTTATTCAGATACAGAAGGTGCTTTTACAGGCAGCCACGCGTGTTCAAGACTCATGGAAAACCCGTGTGGAGACGGCAGGAGGGGAGGGTGTGTCAGTGCCTCGCGCTGCTGGGGCCTCCTGCGGCCTGTCTCGCTTCATCTTCTAAACAACCTCTGATACTTGTGTCACTGTCCCCATTTCACAGATGGGGGCCTGAGGCTCAAACCGCACAAGCCCGGCTCCGAGCGGGTCGCCGGCAGAGGGTGGCCATGGGAAGAAACGGCAGCTGTGCCGGGGCAGGTGGCCTGGGTCACGCAGAGGCGGGGGGGGTCCCAGCTCCCGGAGGTGCGGGCGCCCTGCAGTCTCGGGTCCCTGTGCCGCGGAGGGCACTGCCCTCACGGTGACGCGAACGGAGGCCATAGTCCCAAATAGCTCTCAGAGGGGTTTGCCTTAGCGACAAGCCCCTCCCTGGACGGCCATCTGTTCAGCACCGTCCCGGACAAGGTGGGGGCTGCGGGGTCTCCTGGGGCCCGGTGGCTTCCGAACCACGTGGGGCCACGGCAGTAGTCACGCGAGCCTAGGCACCTCTTGTTCTTCCTGAGTGATGTCTGAGCCTCGGGCCAGACAGGATGAAGTGGCGGGATCTTCCGCGAGGGGAAAGGAGAATCGCTGAACTCAGGAGGCTGCCCGCGGGCCGGGCCTGCGAGGACCCTGTGTGCGTGTCACAGACGCAGCATTCAGCCTGCGCGCGTGCGGCCGCTGGCCCCCGGCACGTCCCAGCTCAGCATCGGTCTCCGCTCCCGGACGCCACGGGGTGACCCAGACCACCATTCAGGTGGATTGAAACGAGACTGTGGCTACCAGCGGGCCCGGTGTGGCCCGGTCCTGTCTCGGTTAGGTGTCAGGTCCGAGCTGCATAGCCTGTTACGGCAAATCGATCTGGAATCCGGGGCTTGGGAGCGGATTGTGCTCCAGGTGCTGTTGCAAAACCTGGCACTTTCTTTGTTTCCTGCGCGTCGACTCGACGCATGATGTATTTACACAGAGAAAACTGACTCCTTGGGCGGGATTTGTCGATGAGTAATAGGCAACCACTTCATCTGTCATGTTGAACAAACGCTGTTCGCTTTTATTAACATCCAAAGTGGGAAACATGAAAAACGGTGAGGCCTGGGGATCTAGATCAAAATTCAGTTTTATGGCTAAATAGGACTGAAAGTGGATGTTTACAGAGATCCGGGGTCTGAAACAACCCATCGAGTGTAGGAAATGAAGACAACATGTCGAACAAGGAGTTGAGTGTTTGGAGTTACCAGTGAGCGCGCCTGTGTTTGGTGTTGAGGTGCCTGAGAGCTCCTGCGGGGGGCAGCAGAGGACCCTTCCCTGCGCACACGAGGTCAGGACCCTGCCCCGGGCAGCTTGAGGACGCTGGGGCCCTGGGCCGGTGGGTGGCCAGGTCTGTTTTCAGTTGGGGGGAGAGAAGGGACTGAGGGCTCGAGTAAGTGACTTTTGTTCTTTCCACTGAGGGGGGTTCTCAACCCTGGGGACAGCAGGTTCCCCTCAGAGCCCCCAGCCCCACCCCAACCCACTGAGCCAGGATCCTGTGCGTGGAGCCATTCCTGTAACNGCTTGAGTAAGTGACTTTTGTTCTTTCCACTGAGGGGGGTTCTCAACCCTGGGGACAGCAGGTTCCCCTCAGAGCCCCCAGCCCCACCCCAACCCACTGAGCCAGGATTCCTGTGCTTGGAGCCATTCTTGTAATTGAGTCTCCAATCAACAGTGACATTGCACGGACACACCAAAGATCATCCTTTGTTTACCTGAAATTCAGGTCNTCAACAGTGACATTGCACGGACACACCAAAGATCATCCTTTGTTTACCGGAAATTCAGGTCTCACGAGGGTCCCGTGTGTTACCTGGCAGCCTTCCTGGACTTCACGTGCGGGTGGCGTGAGCACCGCCGACCACGGTCAGAGACGAGAACACGTTTGGTTTCCGCAGAGTCCACTCTGACCCCCGAGACTTTTATGTAACGGGNCTCACGAGGGTCCCGTGTGTTACCTGGCAGCCTTCCTGGACTTCACGTGCAGCTGGCGTGAGCACCGCCGACCACGGTCAGAGACGAGAACATGTTTGGTTTCCGCAGAGTCCACTCTGACCCCCGAGACTTTTATGTAATGGGGGGGTGGGCAGCAGCAACGTTGGGCATGAAGGACAGGTTTTCTGAGCTTTGCAAAAACCCATCCTTTCCTCCGCCTTTGAAACAGTGTTTCCAGTTGAAACATGACGGACGTATCTTTAAAGAAATCTGTATAAAACCTTGTTAAATGCAGATGGTGCTGGCATGGATGGAACACGAGCTCATTTGGAATTCAGATTTGAGACATCTTATGTAAAATGTAATTAATGTCACTTTTGAAGCGGCTACCATTCAAGTTTAACGGCAGACACAGTTTCATCTTGAAGCTTTTAGATACTTAAATAAGGCACAGTCTGCTTTTTACTTCAGCATTTTGTCTTTTTCGGAGTCCAGAGAAACTCAGAATTAAGTGTGTGTTGCTGTTAGTCATAACTGAGTTCCTTTGGAAGATGATTTTGTAATTTATTTGAATTCTGGGTGATGGCTGACGTGACAAGGTCCTCAAAGCTTGGAAACAGGAGACGTGGGGTGAGCCACGGCGTCTCGTGGGACCTGAATGCCAATGCCCACGTCTGAGTCAAAGCTGCCACCTGTTCTGAGAGCTGATTTCTCTCCCAGCCGAGAGGAGTCGCCTCATCAGTGACTTTGAGCTTCTCTCTTTGACTGATTTAAGTGACATTTAAGTATTAGTGAAAATTCTGCAGATTGAGGGGCAGCTTCTGCTGAGACTCAGTCCTGGGTCCAAAATAAAATTAGGAGCATTTCTATGGCTCTCAGAGAAAAGCCATTAGCGATCATTACCGCCGGGGCTGGCTGCGGGCGGGTGGCACAGCTGTGCACGGAACGGAAGAGGAAGCCAGCGTTGAAACCAATCAGAGTCTTTGTCCTCACGGAGCAGAAATGAATCCTAATTGAGGCAGCTTCAGATGCTGTCATTAGGGAGACGCTGGAGAGGAGGCTCGCGCGTGCTTTCTTTAGAAGTAAACTTTGAAAGAATGGAAAGGATCGAGAAGTTGGGCAGACTGTGCGTGCGTCTTTCAGAAGCCGGATTCACTGAGCGTGCCTGTGCGTGTCCCTGGAGCAGCTGCCGTCCGTCACCTGCAGCCGGGACGTGCTCCGGGGCCGCCGCTCCAGCCGCACCAGCAACAGCCGTGGCTCCGGGAGCTCAGGGACCGGCGCCCTTTCTGCCCATGCGGAGCAGTTTCCTGCCAAAGTCACCCAGTGGGGATGCGTTTCTACCCCCCACCGCCATCTCCATCCCCCAAGTAGGTAATACACAGGAACGGAAAGTTACCACCGGGACAGGAAACCTCGCCGGGCTGAAGGGCTGCGGCTCTGCAGGGCCTCGGCCGCGAGGGACGGCGGAGGCGGAGCCGAGGTGTGGTGAGCGGCAGGGGTGCAGGTGGACCAGCGGGTGGGGTGAGGCGGAGACGCCCAGGTGGCTTGAGAGCCTCTCTGTGAGCAGGTGGACCCGGGGGCTTGAATGGGGAGAGATGGAACGGCTGTGGTACCGAGCCCCTGGGCGGCCCAGGCACAGCCGAGCAGTGCAGGGGGGAGGACCTGACCCCCGTGTTAGCCACAGTCTGAAACCTTCACATCTTCACATTCGGCCCCGTGAGATGAAAGCATACAGTCCCAGCCACCGAAGGGAGGGCGTCCTGCTGAGAAACCCAAGGGCAGGAGCTTCAGGTCCCTGCCGACTGTCCCCACGGTCAGTGCTCCTTGAGCTCCGGGTCTGCAAAGAAGCTCCAGGGGCCTGGGGGTGGGGTGGACAGAGGGGACCTCACCTCACAGCCCCCCCAATGTTTGCAGAGTGGGGCTCATAGCCTGCTTTTTAATGCTTGGAGTTCTGTGTAGACGTCATTTGGGAAAAAAGAATTGTGCCACTGAAAATAGCACGGAAGCGAGGATTTGGGTGGGGTCCGTGGGCAGTCACTTAGCCGCCACGGGCCCCTGCCGCTGTCAAGGGGGACGATGGTGCCATCCCTCCCGTTGCCCACAAGGAAACTGGGGAAACCCCGATTAGCCAAGTCAATAACAACATTACCGACAGGTGGTTGTGGTTTCACCCGGAACCACACAGGATGTGGGTTGGGAGGTGGCCTTGGTCCAGCCCTGACGCTCGGGGTTGGAGAGGAAGCGGCTTCCACACTAGCGGGCCCTGCGAGTGGCACCCGGGAGGAGGGAGGGCAGGGCCCTCGGCACACTGGGTGCCAGCATCAGCTATGAACACATCACCGCCTCCTGTCGGGGAGGAACGGG